TGCACAAACACTGAACACACTCTGACAGACCTACATTAATGCACATGCACAAGTGAAAGTGCATGTCAGAGTAGACACACTCCTCTCTCTCTGCTTGGTATTAATGTTTCAACACCAACTTCAGGGCCAAATGCAGATTCTACAAAAGGTGTGCCTCTTTGTTAAATCAGAGATCAGTATGGCAGAGACTGGTGGCTTGATATGGTGTTTCAGTTGAGGAAAGCATCATCAGCCCTTGACCAGTGTCTTCTAAATTAAAAGTAAAGATCTTCACACCTAAAAACGAATTTACACTACACATTTTTGCTGACTTGAGCTTCCTTATTATGTAATTTAATTAAAATCTTCAGTAATGGGATGATAAACACATGGGAAAACTCAAATAATATTTGGGCAAATTAGGTTTAAGGACAAAAAAGCACCCAATTTGCAGATTTATTTTGGACCAAAAGTATTGTGTATTGTGGGAAACTTATGGGAAACAGAACGATACTGTTATGTTTACTTTTGAAGAAGATTTCTATATCTTTAGCAGTGGTGGGTTGAGTAGGCCTACTGAAGATCTTTACTCCAGTGTAAGTACAAATACTCTACAAAATCACTCAAAAAAAAGTAACAATTTGCATTTGACAAACTTACTCAAGTAAAAGTGTTAAAATACTTGGACAATAAACTACTCAAAGTACTCAAAGTACAATTTACTTTGTATTTTAACATTGTTTAGTGTGTGCAGGCCAGAGATCTTCACAAGTCATTTTATCCAAGTGCAAGTCAAGTCTAAAGTCTCTTTTTGGAATAATAAGTATTTCATCTGCTGTGTCTTAACTTAGAAATAGCCACTGTGCAACATAGTTATTTTAATGTACATGAAGGTAATGATAAGATCACTTTAAAATATCACATTATCGCCTAGCATACTTTTATTGCCTGTATCTTGATATGGTTATGTAGCCAAAAAACATATTAACATATTATATTAAGGGTGTTGCATATGATTTGCCTTCTCCAATTTATCAGGCACCCACTACAATATGATTCCTAAAGCATCTATGAACATAATCTTCATAGATCTTAGATTTAAGCTTTCCAACACAGCCACCAGTGGCATAGTGTGCAGTTGGTGGATTTGAGTTTTATTTAAAAAGGTATTTGCCTGATTGTAAAATTTTTTGCATCTGCCCAGTTTTTTAATATCTGGCAAAAGCACACATCTCTTTGTAACGGTGGGAGACCGGTTAAAGCTCTTCTGCGTAACCATGCTGTTGAGATCTGGTAGGTGCAGGTTCGGTTATTAGCAAGAGATCGAAGACGGGGAGGCATGGGGGACATGAGGCTTGTCACTCAATTAAGTAATTATCCACTCTACCTACCCTCACCAAGATGGTGTATTGCACAGCCGGAATCTAGGCTACATGTTGTGGATTCCAGATGTGTCTGTGTGTGGATGCACATAAAGCGTATGAGTGTGTGAGTATGGAGGTTAGTATGGAAAAAGAGAAAGCAGAAAAGGGCACACAGAGCAAGGTATAAGGTTGTGGTTGCAGCAGCTAGATACAATGTAACCTACTCTATATCCAGCCTGTTCTCATCTCAAGCGTCATATATACATTTATTTCATATTTATAGGAGACTATAGCAAACCGCAGCGTATCATACACACGTAAAATCATCGTTTTGCATACAATAGCCACGGTTTTGTCAAAGCGTGTATATATAACGCCAGAGATGAGAACGGGTTGCTATATCACACAGTACCCAGCAGTGATCTTGCAGTCAATGGCCTTGGTCCTGGAATTCAGGATTACTTGTGATTGCTAGAGTCTCCAAAAGTAGAATGGCAGGCAGAGCCTTCAGCTATCAAGCTACATGCATTCTTATACCATTAATGCATATTAACTAATGCAACATCTCTTCCCTCGCCTCTCTCCTTTGACTTTCAGCTGGTATTTCTGCCTCCAGAGCCTGGATCTATGATTGCAAGTCACCTACTAGCCCCATGTTCCAGCACCTTCTGTAACAATTATTCTAAGTATTAGTCTGATTATTATCAGTATTCATTCTATAATAATTATTTAATATATAAATATAAAATAAATAAATATAAATTAATAATTAATATTATTTTATTTATATTGATACTACCACTACTGTTATTTTTGCATCTGTATTTGGAACTTGCATCCTTGCATTGTGCTACTGTGTCATCTTTCCTATCTCTCTCTCTCTTTCTCTCTCCCCTCCCTCCCCTCCCCATCTTCCCCCTAGCCAGTCGAGGTAGATGGCCACCCACCACCCTGAATCTAGGTTCTGCTCAAAATGAAAAGTGCAATGACATAACTTCTGTTAGCAATTGGTGATATATAAATTAAAATGAAGTGAATTGAAAATGTATTTATATTTTAGTTCTAATATCCATTGAAAGTAAAAGTTATATACTTCCTGTACTCACAATGGTACATGTAGATTAATACACACACACACACACACACACACACACACACACACACAGAGCATGAATCACTGAGTAGTGTAATGATAGGTGTGTCCAGGATGGCATCAAGATTGGTTTCACTAATGAAACAGCATCCCATCTCTTATCAATGAATTATGCATCACACATATTACAAAATGCTCCACTGCATAGATTATTAATACACCCACACACTCTGCATAAATATACAGACAGATACGCACACATGCTGACACAAAATGCTGAAATGAACAAACTCTAAAAACTCTAAAGGTTAAAAAAAAATGCATAAACAACAAAAAATCCAAAACATGAAATTTTAAGTGTTCTGCACTTACTCAGCCAGGCTAGTTGCATGTAGTAGCTAAATGAGAATTAGCAACATTACAGTAATTTACTGTATTTCAGATTGAAAGTCACACAACAAAAAGTTCTGTACTGAATGGTTTAGTCATCCAGGTCAGTCATCCGATTAAAAAGCAACTGTATTTGCAGACCACAAAAGCAAATGACTAAGATACTTTGTGCAAAAACATACAATTTCACTCTTATAGAGCATATACAGTTGTCAGGCTGTCTGCAAGACAGAAATCTGAAATCTGAGAGAAATGGCAAAAGGAGTTCAACAGGCCACTGAATTCCAGCAATTCCTTTTGTATACAGGACCCAGAACCCATTCTCCTGAGAAATGTGGCAGTATCCACCCACAATGACTAAAAAAGCATTATTTAACTTAAGTTAAGAGAAATGTTATAGGCTCTCATCATACAGCGAAGAGACTGTGTATGGTGTATAATTAAAGAGAGCTGAGGTCCCACTTCTTAATTAAGGTTTCTATGTATGTATTCCAAGATATATGGTTATTTGCACTGGACAGTTAACAATTCATACAGAATATAACATCAATTCTCACATCACACAAAATTTAGGAAGGATGTGTCATACAGATGGACAGAACGCAAGTTGAATTCAAAGTAACCACCATGGCTAATTAACTAACACAGATGTACAGCGCTGCATTAGATTCTTGCTCGTTTGTGGAGGACTTTATTTGTATAGTGCTTTGACATGAGTCACAAAATGCTTTAAAGCGTGCGGTTTTTAGATTGCAACCATGTGTGTGCTTATACATGTGCTCTAACCCAGCAATGTGAGCACAGCTAAATGTAATGGATGATAACGAAATGGTTAGAGAGCTAGACTGAATATTATAAATGAGATTGTTGCAGTTAGTAACATTACTGTAGTGAATGGGTCTTCTTCCACTGTGGTGTTGTCCTGCACCGTTATGTTGCATTATTGTATATTTATATTATGTGGGTCACGTCAATTACAGTGACTGAGATGGTGAAGGCGCTGTGTACCTGAGTACTGGTAAAACAACAATAAATCTAAATTGAACGTTACGAAGCTAACAGCGGTAGATCCATGCTAACGTTAGCTGGCTACCGCTGCCTTGAATCACTATCAGCTATAAACAAAGCGCTCCACATTTGCTTTGTAACATCACATCATTTCTTGCAGGCTGAAATCAACACCTTGACATAATACTGGTGGTACACAGGATAGTAATATGAGTCGCGTTAGCTGGTGAAGTCATGTGGAAAGCGATACGACTATGGTATTTTGCACCAGATAATGTTAGCAACTGCTCGCCGTTAGACAGCAAGCTAACCTTATCTAACATGAGCCAGCTAAAGCAAAAACATCACAATATATTTCACATGCTTTGCAGTAGTGTTTTAAAATGTAACATTCAAAACTATTATGATAAAATGCGTGTTCTACTAAAATGCATGAGTTAAATGAAGTAAAATGTGTTTTTCAGTCTTTTTGTCCTTTTAAGTGCTAATTCATTTGTGATTCAAATGAATTAAATCAAACATTTATTAAAGAGATGGTATTATGCTTTATGGGTTTTCCCCCTCTCCTTTATTGATCTTTTTTGTGCATGTAATAGGTTTGCAAAGTGAAAAAGCCCAAAGTCCAGTCCAAAGGGAGTTCCCATCCCCCACAGAAAACACTGAAGCATTTTCATTGGTTCTTTGCCATTTCATGTTGCCAGCTATTTTTCAAAGCATTTTTAACAAACGCTTTCAAAATGTGATGGGGAAATGTCCCCAGCGTCCTCAGTGTAAATAACACAGATGCTGACATGTTTTATCCTGTTGATGTTAGAATATATTATATCCAGGTTGCTGCCACTGCTCTGAACAATTAGCTTGGCTAACATTACTGGTTAATAACAGTGGGCAAAGTTATAAAATTGGCAACATTACTGTCTGGCAGGACAGTTAACATTGTAAGCTTGCTTACATCAGGCTTGCTTTCCGACGGACAGACGGAATGCTAGAAAAAAGCATTTGTTGGAGCTGGTCCAAGCTGCAGTTGACAACAGTCTAGCTGCGTAACATTGGCATCAGGGTTGGGCATCATTTTGATTCCAAATCAGATTCCTACTTTCGATTCTGGTTCTTATCAATTCTCGATTCCAATTCTTTGAGGGTTGAAGTCAAAACGGTCGACAGGCTTATTTCACAGAGAAATTTTTTATTTTGATTCAAAGGTGATTTACAGTTTTTGAGATGCTGACAATAAAGGATAAGTCTTGCGCTGGTTTCACCACCAGGCAGTAGGGTCATTGGCCGTAAAGGTTGGGGGTGTCTCCTTATACATCTGCATCTCCTTCTCTGCCTGGTCCTGGATGGACATGGTCCTCCTCTGCTATAATGACATCTTTTGTGCATCCTCGTCGGCAAAAAGCTCTTCCAATGGAGACTTTCTTGGTTGTTTGCTGGGAGGTGGTTGGTATACAAACTAAAAACAGCTTTATTATCATTGCTAAAAAGTAAAAAACTGTTGTGACATTGCAATCCTCTAACTGGCCTTTAGACTTAACAATTTAATGAGTGAATTGGAGACTGTATATATTAGTGGATAAATGACATTAAATCACCTGCTCAGATTCTGTCATCATTTCTCTCTTGATCCGGTCCCAGACACTGGCACTGTTCTCCATCTTTTGTTTAGAGCGTGGGTCCAATGCTGTTGCCACTTCAAGAAAGATCCTGATGTGCTCGCTCAGTTAAGTCAGAGGAATAGAATCATTTAATGTACTGTTCATTAATTTCTTTATAGCCAAGTTCAACTCAAGTAATTTACCTGGTATCGCTTGGAAAGCTTTGTCCAGACTTGCTTTTTGAGGTTAGATACAAATCCTGTGTCTCCCTCAACAACAGCAAAATGCCTCTCAAGCTTTTGGAGAATTGGCAGAATCTGACCACATGTGGTGCTCTTTTCAGTTGATACGCAAAGTGTGGAAGTGTAAAGAACTATTATCAAGTTGATAAAGTCCTCTGCATTCCTGAAGTCTTCATCACTCAGCCAGGCAAGTCTACATGAGAAAGGATACATTGTCGGAAAATTAATCATTGTTATTCATGTTCGTGCTGTTGACTTTTTGACTCCACTTAAAGTTGAAATTGAGTAAACTTAAACTTAAGCTGCTTAGTGTTTTGTTATATTCTTGTGTGTTTTTGCTGTTGGATACATATGTTCTTTGAACTGGATACCTGTATTCAGAAAAAATCTCTCTACTATCTATTTCTACCTGTCCCTCTCCATATTCTTCCTCAGCTGTTGATCCAAGCTGGCTGCTTGAATTGCAGGGTATTGCTCTAAGAATCTCTCCAGCATAAGGTAAAGAGAATTCCACCTAGTTCTCACATCAGATATCAAATTTGTTATGTTGAACTATTTCAGAAAATTTAAAACCTGCAAAATGTACTTTACTAAAAAAGTGATCAAATGAAACTAATTCAGAGATTCTTACTGAGGAGATCTTGCTTCTCTCGTAGAACAATCTTTGCCATCGAGGACCTCTTCGTCCACACAACAAAGGCACGGATCTTTGCAGTCCACTGTGTCACTGCAGTCAGGTAGAGACTTTGTGCTGCTAGATTGAGTGTGTGTGCAAAGCAGCCCAGCTTCACATACTGTAGCCGTTTTATAGCTATCTCTGTATTTCCTCCTGCATTATCAAGAGAGCTTTTGTTTGGAGCACTTTTTACTTCATTTTGCCCTCCACTAAATAGTGTGTTGTGACAGTTAGATAGTGGTCTTGAGCAATGCTAGTCCAAGAGTCACAAGCGAGGGCAACAGAGCTGCTTTGCTGCTAAGTTGAATGGAGTTTGACGCGGAGCCTCCGGTCTAATATTAACAGCAGTAGGTCTGCTAATGTTAGTAATCTGCATACATTTATCTACGAGAAAAAAATACATTTCAGTAACGTTGTTCTCCACAATTTCAGCAATTTGATCAAGCAGCTTGTTTCACTACAATTTCACTTACCTGATGTCGATGAGGTACCAGTTAGTTCCGTGTTGTCTGAGGTAGGAAAGGGAGACCGGCACAGCACGTCAAACACGGTACACTCCTTGTTGATTTGTACACGAAATAAGTGTCTCGCAGTTGTTGCACTGTGCCGACCCGATGAATAAAGCCACACTTTTGAGCGCCGCTTCCTGTGCTCCAAACTCACGTTTTGGAACCGATGATTGGATTCGAAACCCAAATTTCCGAACGATTCCATTGGAATCGCCATTTTTAAAACAGTTCCAAGTTGGAACCGGTTCTCGATGCCCAATCCTAGTCACATTTAGAGACAGCTGAGGGTTTAAGAGGAGGACCCAGGCTCATTACACAGAGAGATCAGTTGCATTACTTATTAGAAGCACAATTCTGTATCCTGCATAGCTCACAGCACCATGACTGATAACATGGTGAGAGCTATAAAAACCCAGATGCCAATGCAGGGTACAGAAATGTTAAAGGACAGCTCATGGCAATGGGTAGCTATGTGCAGTGGGAGAGGATTAAGCCATCAATGCATCGTGTGGATGCCACTGGAGTCCTGTCCCAACTTGCACAACTTGGCTGCATTGTGCAAACATCATACTCAGTTCGAGGTCCCCTTGCATTGTATTACCTTTTCTTCATAGGTACAACCTGATAATATTAGGTGGAGTTGATGGATTTTCCAGAAAGGTAGTACAATTTATATATACAATATGCAATTTGCTAGTTAATTAATTTCAGTTCAAGCAATAGAAATGTTGGATTTCTATCTACAGAAGGATAAGTAGTTGAGAATATGGTTCTGTGATATGTTCTTTGAAGTTCTCCCAAATATTGTAAAAATATATAAATATTTTTTGCAATTCAATTCTTGCAACATTCAATAAGGAAAATAAAATACCTCAAAATCTTTTTCTAAAGGCATCCTACTGAGCTTATTAATATTATTGTTACTGTTGATGATGATGTAGTAGACCTACACATTTATGATTTAAATTCAACTTAAATATAAATAAATATATAAATATGACAATGACAAAGATGCTATGAGGGTATATGCTAAAATGTTAAGGTTTTCTATATTATATAATAAGTGTAATGAGGGACAAACAAGCAACACATTAGAAGAAGTTTTATTTCTACAAAAATTTCATCAAGTTTTATTTCAACAATCATCATCTGAGTAATCAGTGATGTTGGCACTGTGTGTGAGTACACGTGGAACATCTTCCTCAGAAACATTATCATCATCTTTATTTCTCTCTTCATCCACAGACTCATTAGCCTTGTTTCCATCAACGTTTTTTCATGACATTTTGCAGTATCGGATTAGAAAAGGTTGATGCAAACAGCAAAATTTGAGAGAAAAAAATCCTTAGTTTTGCAAAAACGTTTTTACGTTCGCTTGAGGTGGTTTTTTCCTTGGTCATAAAGTAAATGCACTAAATGGGAGATGGAAAAACTTGCCGAATAAGGTTTGACGTAGCAAAGCCCAAGAATCGATATGTGATTTCACCGTCACACAGAAGTGCTTCTGCCGGGTGCACATACAGGTCCGTGTGTGGCGGTGGCGTCACTCACTGATCCTTCAGAAATGTTTGCAAAAATGTAGCGTGTGTGGAAGCTACCACGCTACTCGGTCAATAAAAGAGCTTCGTTACTGAAAAGCTATTTGATTCAGAAAATAGCGACACTACCACCAAGCTACTAAGAATCGTAATTAAACTAGTAACGGCGCTACCTGTAGCGACGCTACTGCCCAACACTGGCTACTGATGTACCTACGCTTGCCGTAGCCTTGTTTATATAACCAACTGATGAAAACGCACATATTTCGCATTTAATTGTTTTCTTTTTTGCAACATTTCAAAAGTCCGCTTAAAATTCACATGACAATTAAGAAAAGGCTATTGTCATCAGATAGGACATCTGTTTTAAAAAAACAACCAGGAAGCGTAGGTCATATACTTCTCTTCAACCACTTATGTCCACACACACACACACACACATATATAAAGTACATACAGTATGTTACTCTACTAACAGAACCCTGATCTCCTTAGTCTCCCTCAAAGCTGATTCTGGGGTCCACTCTTCCTCACTCTCCTCAAGCTCACTGTCCTCACTGTCGAAAGGAATAAGCCTAAATGCTCAATCATGTTCCTTACACCCATAAAATGTTCGTACTTCCATTTATTGTGATTAATAGTAGATAGTAAAGCAAAAAAGAAAAGATTATGGTGATAACTATGCATCCCTGCACATATCCATCCATAAAAATGTTACTGTTCAAACAATAGTGGTCTAACTGCACAATGTTGCCCTGAGGCAACGAATGAAAAAATACCATCTTAACATATATAAATAGACAAAAAGTGTCTTTACTCAATCAAATATGCTTCTTTACAAATTCATGCACATCACAGATATGATTTATAGAAAGTTATTTAAATTTAAACATGTTAAAAGGTGAAATTTTTCTTCTGCTCAAGCAGAAGACAGGCTTTGTTCCCTTATCAAATCGCAAAAGAGTGCTATTTAATTATAGTAGCCTAAAGGTATAAACAAGATATTAAATCAATATAAATAAGTTATTTTAGGAGGTTCAAAAAGTAACTAGGTAACTTTTAAATTTTAAATGAGCTACTTTTTACTTTTTCTTTAGTAGATTAGAACAGTAACTTTACTTGTATTTAAGTAAAAGTTCATCAAAGTAATCATACTTTTACTTAAGTAGAATATTTTTGTACTCTTTCCACCTCTGTCAAAGAGAAAGTTATAAGGAGCATGGCCAGTGCTATCATTGTCTAAATCCTGAAACGTCACTACAAACAGCTGAGTTCAGGAGGTGTCCACAGTGCTGAAAAGACGGAGAGTTTTTCATGCAAATTCAGTACAATAACAATAATTATGGTGAATAAGGGCCTACTCAGCTGCTAGCTGACCCCTAACAGCCTTTAAAACAGAGGCACATTAGCCACACCAAATCCACTGAAAAAGCACTAAAGTTACTCACCAATTTGAAAGGCATCCGACGAGTCTGTATTGACAATATCCTCAATAATCCAAAACAATCTTATCTGGGAGCTTTGCGATGCTGTCCTCCAGTTCTTTTCTCTCCTGTCTCTTCTTGAAACTACTTTTATGTTTGAATAGCATGACTGCTAGCTTGCACGCGCGCTCTGCTAGTCTACTAGTCAGATTTAGCGTTTCACCCGGTTTCTGGAGTCTTGTCGTCTTGTCACATGATCAAATACAAACTTAAGATTGAGCATTCATTTACATATTACCCAGCAATCATCACTGCATATGTGGGCAATGTGACATGAATGTGACATTCTGTGGAATCTATGGAATCTATTTTTTTATATTTCACCATATACGTCATAGCCTACTGCTTGCTTCAGATTTTTGTGGGTAAAACTACTGACTGCCGTTAATAGTTTTACCCACAAAAGTCTCTGGTGTCAGACACCACAGCAAAAGGGAAAATGCACATATGAGTGTATATATAGCAGTTGATCACAATTCCAAATACAGTTTGTGGCGAAATAGGAGTTTCCAGTTGATTGATTTTTTTTTTTTACCATGTAACTGACTAAGACCAGCCTGTAATATGGTGCGGCTGCTCCCGTCAAGGGCCCCTGTGCAGCTGCACTGTCTATACCTACGCCCCTGGCTCCATGGTGTGCCATCAAGGTAATTATTATTATTAGTTACTTTTATTTATTTTATAAATACAAAATATTATCTCCCTGTCTTATTAATTTGTTATTTTTAAAAGTTTTCCTTAATTCTGTATCCCTAAAATCCAGAAAATTTAGTTGAGGAAACTGTTATTTCAGTTGTTTAATCTAACTGTACTTTAGCATCACTACTAAAGGCTACTGCTGCAGATGTTTTTGATTACACCTCATAGTTTTTCTATGTCACAGGGTTTACAGAGATCAAGGAGTTGAAAATCGCCTTCTTCATGTTTGCGAGACGTCCAACCGGTCGAGCTAGCTTTATCTCGGGATAAAGTGTACACAATCAAAGGTAATGTGAAATACCTGCTGTCTGAAGATTAGTACTTTAGAGATCAGGTCCCAGAATTTCAGGTGCCTCAGTCCGATGAAGATCTGGCAGCACTTCAGTCTGCGACTGACTAACTGATTCCGATTGAAATGGCTGTAACCTTTATATTGAAGTGCTAAACTTTGTTAGACTAAACACTTCAACACCCATTGATCCTTAATTGATTGGCAATTAAGGATCTAAGCACAAACATCTCGAACATCGTACATGTAATTGGCCATGCTGCAAGTCCCAATTACTTTAAATGTGGTACATTTCATCCTTGGGCAAAGGTTTAATAAAATATGGCCAACCAGCTTTCATCATATTTAAGACAGGGTTCCCAATGTTCCAAATTTTGATTTGTATGTAAAATTACATACCTGTTATTTTTGGTGACTTTTTTAACAATTATTTTATTTTCCATTAACAGAAAATGTCAATTTAGAGTAACATTGCAGATGAACACTGTACATTTGTGGCAGAGTTGGAGAATTTTTTTTATGTGCAGCAATGCAATGCAACTTTAAATGCCACATAAAAACTGCAAAATTGTCTTTACTGTCCACTACCAAGTACTGATGATTTCACTCACAATGCAACAGGTTGTAAACATTTGTTTTAAAAGTTGTAAATAATGTAAGCCAGAATGAATACTGGACACTAAGGGAATAAGGGAATATGACTAAACACTTACTGAACATGCATATTATAATTTCTGTTGTATTTTAAAACACCATTCATTATGCCAACATTGCATTACGCTACAACTCCAAGGGCCTGTAAAGATGTTACTTTTTTCTTCACTTCAACATTGTTAAAGATTTGTTGACCTAAAATAAATAGTGTTGAATGACTGCAACTTTTCAGGTGTTTGCTCTCTCTCTCATTGACCAATGCCTTCAGGTTGCTGCTGTCTTCTCGAAATTAATGACATTAGAGATTGTGCAGTATTGGGTATTGCAGTATATTCGTCCTGCAAGAAAAGAATAACAGAAGATGGTATATTACAAATCATAACAAGGATATGCATCTATGGTACCTTGCTATGGCCAGTGTATTGGCTTTACTGTACCTACTATCCCATCCAACCTATGTTGGCTGTGTTTGAAATTACTTACAAAGCACTATATAGTGTATCAACCATTTTGATGTAGTGTCCAAATTCTCAGTGGTAAATTCCATTCACTATATAGTCCTAGAAATGGACTTACTACATTGGTCTGATGTATAATGTTATCACAATGCAATGGGACCGGTTCTTTCACGATTAGCAAAAGCTAACTTGCAATTACATCAGCAGCAAATGTAGCTAGCTAATGAGAGGCCTTGCATGACCGGACATGGATAGCCACCATAACAGTCAGGGAAGCTGTTTGCTAAAAAGCCCGGATTGTTCAGGCTTTGTTTGATTGTTGCAATCTTGGCCGAGTGTCCCCAATGGAGAACCAGGCATCAAGCAGAATCAGGGACAAACGACCTGTTAATAGCTCCCATACCTGGGTCAGGGTGCAACTGCTAAATCTCACTAGTGCATTTATTCCTCCAAAGCCCACACGACAGCCAGCAGCTCTCAGTTATGCCACATCATACAACGTAGTTGCACTCGGAGGGTGACAACCTTTTTGATAAAAAAGCACATAGGCAAAGTTTATTGTCTTTTGGGGACCTGTGAGAAAGCACTCCAGTGTCAGAAGCCCCCACCTCAACCATGAATTGCAAGGCGGGTTTGGGGTGAATCAACACCAGTGCAAAAGAGAACATTTGTTTTACTCTGACAAAACTGAATCTGCCTCCTGAGGAAATTCAGGGGAATCCAATCACACGTTAACTGGCGGCTTTTACAGAGGTGTGTCAAGCAAGCCAGAGACTCTTTCGAATGTCCTTCAGAACTTTTCAAAGTAAAAGCTCTCAATAAACTCAACATGAAGAATTGCTGCGAAAAATGTTCTTGCGCTTTTATTTTGGAGGCACAAT